ACAATTTAGTTTGGAGAAACAATCACGGCTTGAACGGCAGCTCCTGATCTGAGAGATCTTACTGACAATCTAGGAGTTTAGCAACACTGTGCTGTTTTGTCGATAGGACAGCGGTTAGCTCTAGCTTAGTGCTTTTGAGATCATCATTGTCCATCAAAGTCTTCATCCGTTTCGTTGGTGGTTTCCTATGTGCAATCGAAACCCACTACCACCATTGTTCATCGTTGCAACTCTGCACGTCTCTCAACAGCCGCTCTTGCAGCCCGTTCATGTTGAATAGAGAACATCAAAGAAGACATATCAATACTGTTTTTATGCGCAGAAAAAGAATATATTGTCCCATTTACGGAAGCTCACAGAATCTAAAGCATCTGGTATAATTAGTTTCCAGAGAGAGAGAGAGAGAGAAATTTTACGGAAGTAGTGGATTTAATGTTTAATTATTCAACTTTTTAAAGTTCGATGATTATTGAGCTACCAAACAGCAAAACCGTGCAGGGGGAAGTCGCATTCGGACTGATGTGTTGATGACAAGGAGGGAAAATCATTCGGCATGAACAAATCGCGAATGAATGGAGGGATGATTTAGGGTTATTTAGAAAAAATCGAATAAGCACAGTGTTCAAAACCTTATCTTCAGAAACATTCCTTATATTATGAGCAGCAACGATCGGTAGTACTGTTGTTTATTTTGATTAAGTCTACAGCGGCAAATAAATCAAACTGATTCTGAAAATTGACAAGTATTAACCCGGAAATGAGTTTCTTTGACCCGGTCAAATTTACTATTTCGAATACATTTGATTAGGGAAAGGAAGCATCTGACAGGCGAATGGCGGTGGAGAGCCAGTTTTTCTCCTGTTGTGATGTGGCACCGGGAGTTCGTGCACCTGCCCGAACTCGAAATATGAAAATCCATGCCGGGATCTTGAACCCACACTCTGTGAGCTGAACACGTTCCCATAGCTTAAATACATCCAGAGTGAACGTCTGCTGGAGTAAATAAATGTTTCTGACTTTTTCACTCTCAGCTGATCTTTATTTTACGGTTTTCTGCTTACAACACTGTTCTGTCGAAATCGGACAAGAAGTGAGTCCAGATCAATAAGACACGGTTAGTTTATCGCACCTAGTAAAATATTGACAAAAGTAAGGCGATTTGTAAAATGGTCAGAAGACAGAAACAAAGTGTATGTTCTGTATTTAGCTTGTCGATGACCGATTTTCAAGGTGTTCGGGCAAGTATCTGGTGAGTAGAGAATGGACACGGTCGCGCAATTGTTGGATCAATGAGAGCAGGGGTCAATCAGCTACCTGTTGGGGAGAATATTCTCGCACTCCAAAGTTTCGTAAATTCGGGAAGAACTCAAGGAGAACGGCATAAAATAAGTGATAAATTGCTCTAATTTATTAGTTCAGTTTACACCATATTTTAACTTATTTCAATCTACAGATAATGATTGGTATTTTACCGTGAAAACTTGTATCAACTGCATTCATTTGACTGTGTTCTAGAAGAACAGAGATGTCAGTCAAGATAGTGTGTGCCCGCTTTCTGCCTTCAACCAACCGGATTAGTAGTGTGGATTTTCACTCGAATGCTGCCTGTCGTTTAATTGGTTCACGTACAATATCCATTTGTGCATTATTTATGGGACAAAGAGAACGATATACCTGCTCATTCCACCTACCGCATAAACGAACTGCATGCACGAATGTACGCACGAATCGATCGATTATTCGTTTGAAAAAAACGTGGAACGTTGCATTCCAAAAGACAAGCGTCCCGACCACGTGACGCTCAACAGGTTTTTTTCCAGTTCGAATCAGTCCGAGGCTCCGCCCAACACATTGACAGATATAAATGGGTTACCCTGGCTGCCAGGGTGGTGGTACTATTGATTCATTTCCAGTATGGTGCAAGCTTCACTCCGAGAATTCGAGGAGGCGTCCGTCACTGGAAGTTACGGACACGTTACTGTAATTAAACACTGTGGATCAGGATGTGTATAAATCTGTTTCCCTCTCTCTCTCATGTACATATTTATATATTCCTGGAATTTATGACAACTTTGTGTGGGTTCATTGATTCTTTGTTTACAGATAGAAAATATGGCAGCGCACAACACAAATGATAAATCTGAGTGCAGTCCATGGTAAGTCGAGGGACCAATCTCATAGAAGTGTAATAGATAAAGCTGAATGAATTGTATACGTAAGGCACACAGTTTAAACTGGCACTCCTTATTCATAATTCGTCATCTCGAAAATCAGTAAACACTGTGGTGACTTATCCACGATTAGCGAAGATTGTGTTCGAACCCATGAAGCTATTCGAACCGGAAGGGATTAGCAATACCGATTGATGAATAATTGATTGGTTCATATATCTGCTCTATGGCAGACATCTTAACCTTGATTTTTTTAATACATGACGATTAAGTGATTGTCAACCTACTGGGGCTGAGTCATCTGGCTGGTTTTACGGAATGAATCATCTGCGCAGTAGTTCCAAGGCTTGAAAGTAATATATTTAACACGTTGACATTATCTACCCATTCAGTTGTTCGGACATTTTACGCTCTACGAAAGAGGTTTCGAGAACAAACATGCCGACAAAGTCACTACTGGTCTTGAGCTCCGCAATCGAAGAATGGATCATCGTATGGCACCACCTTTCGAAACGGAACAATAAAATCACCAAATGCTGAATCCCTGCCATAGAACTGGCCTATATTGATCTCTCTGTGATCCATCAACTGAATACGGCTCAGCGTTTTACTTCACAAGGTACTGTCTAAATATTTACAGAATATTTGACATTGAAAAGGGTAAACCTTGTGCTTCATGCATACAATGAGCATGAATGTGTATGCGTTTCTAGGATTAGTACTTTTAAGTATGAGGGTTGCCTGATGAATGCTCGAATGTACCAGGTAGCTGACCGTAGCTAAATCTGTTTCAGGACTCCGAAGTTATGCTGCGAGTGAAACGAAGACAGTCAGGTAGTCGTGGTGCAGAGTGTTTGAATAGATGCCCAATACACTGCGGAACAACAGCTCTTCGATTCGGCGGAACTGACATCATTTTCCAACCCCTCTATGATCATTGGCTGATTCTTGGACCGAATTTTTCTCTTTTGAATCGATCTAGTCTGAAGATGCATTCACATTTTTTGCAGTTGAAGTGGTGGCTTTGCCCTTTGGTACGGATTCGTTCCTGAAATCTCAGTCAGACCTGAAGCTTTCAGCCGGACCAACTGCTCTTTGTTATTGGTCTTTAAATTAATCTTGCAATGACTGAATTATTTTTACGCCATCCCGTGTTGCTCAGCAAATGAAACGCACTGTAGATTGCCAAGTTGAAAGGGTACACTGTTCCCGCTCTCGGTCGTTTTGCGGTTGATTTGTGCTGCAATTATTCTGCGCACAGTTAAAAAACCTTTAGGACAATTTTTCCGAAATACCACATGTTTCCTATCGAAGCTTAGGGTTTGATTAAAATGCGTGGGTGTACTGTACCCAGTGCATCAGTTTACTGGGAAGGATTTAGCATTACACTACTATAAACAGCGTGGAAACTCCTGTTCAGTGCATTCAAATTACAAAAGATGAAGGGCTTTGATATCACTCTCAGGAGTTGACAAGAATAGATGCATTCATCTCCAAAGATACGAGATCTTATGAACGTTGCTTGGCCCTCATTGGAGATGTCAATTAAACGAAAAAGTGCATGTGACTTCAAAATAGCTTCCATACCCCACCCTCCCTCTCTCGTAAATTATGCTGAAATTTAGGAATCGTGATCAACGCGGTCGCTTTATGGTTAGCTGGGGAAAAATCACTTGGAAGTCTGCATATGAGTTAAAGGGTATGCGCGGACTACAACTTAGAGATTGAATAAAGTAGGTGTCTCCTTCTTTCATGCGCTAATCCGCAAAACGCGGTAACTGCTTAATTAGAAGCACAGAAGAATGACGCACCAAATCGACAGCATTGGCTTTCTTGTCAGACCAAAAGCTTGGAGATGTGTGTGTGCGCATTTGTGCACAGTTTAACTTTATCTTCCTTGAATTGATCATGTTTAGTTGCTGTCTCTCTCTAAAAAATGGCCCACTCTCTGTTTAGCTTATCCATTCGTTCTCAATTTGTGCACATTCTGAGCTTAGCAGCGATCAGAGAATTCAGCTTTATTGTATTTCGTTGCTCATAGATGATGATTCGAGCTGCTTTGTTCCTAAAGAGCGGATCCGTAATTTTAAAAGCGGTAAGGCTTTTGTAACAACTCCCAAGATAAATTCCTCGTACTATCTGTACGACATAGCTGACGATTAGAATTGCAGAGCTTCGGTGTGTGTTTGTGTGTTAGTATGATCCTGTTTCACGCCGTCCCACAATGCAGATCAAACGATTGAATTAATGGATTAATCGATTCATCATCCTGATCGGACCTTCAGAGCATTGTGACAAACCAGGTTTGTTAACTAATTGTGAGCACTAGTCGTTAGAACGTTCAGTCTACCCCACCCCTAACCCCTGCACTGCACTGTTCTTGCTATTGCAATCGAATTCGTGCGTACGTTACGCTTCTGTGGTATTCTGTATACAGCACTGGAAGATATTTGATAGTTTTGACAGCTGTGAAAGAAAACTAGGGGATAGGTTTAGACGGAATTAATACTGCACACATGAACAGTGGAACAACAGCATGAAAATAGGAAAGACAATGAATGAGTCAATTGCGTTGGTGTGTGTGTGTGTGCGCGCGCGCGAACGCGTGCGTATGTGTATGGAAGTGAAGGTTGTGAATGGTTGTTGTGACTTGTGTGTGGTTGCTTGTGAGTGAGTGTATGTGTGTGTGTGTACATATAGATGTTCTTGTGTATTTGAATGGATGCAGGGATTCGGACACGTTCGAAATGGTTGGTTTGTTGTTAGGTCGAATGCAAACGACACTGACCCGTTGCTCGCGCCAGACAGATTGACCGATCCGACGAGCAATCACTGACTCACATTCGGCTGCGGATGCGGTTGTGCATGTGATATGCTCAAATTTAGGCTTGTTCGAGCGGGTGATGTGGGCGGAGCAATATGCGATCCCAAAGTGAGTTGGGGTGAAACATTTTTGTTTCGTAGGGTTGGAATGTTCTCCGGGGTCGGGATTGTCTCTCCGGTTGGAGCGTCACGGACCGCATTCGGTGTGACGTGCGTTTTAGCCATATTATAGTCACCGGAATCAAAGTATTTGACCTGCATTTAACGGATCCGGTGGGATGGGATTTGGGGGTAAGGGTTATATAGAGCATCGAATCGAATTCTGCGAAGTTCATGAAGTGAAAGTGTTGTTTTCTTCTGAAATCATTTTAGACATTCGAATGGATAACTCTTGGATGAGTTACATCACGTCATCTGCGAGCGTTGCATTATAAATAGTGTTACCTATAGCTAGGATTCTGATGTAACACTCCTTAACGCACCGAAAACAGACAGCTCTCATTGATTCGGACTGAATACCCTTCAGATTTCCCCTTCACGCACAATCCTCCGTTCGCCCAGTCAACGCACATGCCATTCATCCGATTGGTCCAGAATTCAAAGTCCGGACAGGACGATGGATATACACTACCGGTGGGCTTAAATGAGCTCGAAACTCGAGCCTATTACCTCTTGATCGTACAGTTGATTAGCTGAAATGAGCATTGCCTGGGAAGGTGGAGTCCTAATAGTGATCAGCACAAATCAATATCAGTTATCTCACACCACTACTCACAAGTAATTGTAAAGCAGATGTCAATAGCTCTTAGTTCTTTAAAATGACCCTGAGAAACATTCAACTTGGATTATTTGTTTATTTAAAATAAATTCTTGATGTTATCACCAATACCGAAAAAAGGTTGACGACGGAGACGGTCTTCTACTTTTGATTATCTAATATGTTTTCTTTGGGTAAGATTGACTTCAAATCCTAAAAGTGCTCCAATCCAGAATGGATGCCATAGTTGTGCAACAAACGTTACACCCACGCATCGCCTAGATTCGCATGTAACAGTCAATTCAACTGTTCTCAGGCATATGAAAATAGGCACCTACGCGTTTGAGCAAAACAATTCGATCAATATTCCATTAGGCCAGAACTGGAAACAATCAGCACATTGTGGTGAAGTAATAACACGGAACAAGTTCGTCAGCAATATCTCTCCTGCAGGACAGATATCAGTGAAAGGGGGTGAGCAAATTTTGAAGCGATCGAGGATGGGAACCCATTGATGGTATTCAAGTTGCGATGTAATTCCGCAGCACATGTGAGTGAAGCTAATCAATACACAGTTCAAATACACACACACACCCAGTGTCTGGGAATTTGTAGGTTATTGCATACATACAGACAGAACTCTCCCAACCAAACTACGGCTAATCAGTACAACCGAGCCCATTCCTATAAAGCGATTTATCAAGCGTAAACTTTCGGATACAGATTATTTTTTGATCACGTGACAGGATATGGATTCGAAATAAGAAATCCCGATCTAGAATAACAACAACAACAACAACAACAACAACAACAACAACAACAACAACAACAACAACAACAACAACTGGTAGACCCTGGTGCCTGTAATTGTGCTTGAACCACACAGGAAAATCGTCTAACTTAATCCCAGTTAAGAATTTGGTTTGAACTGAAGAGAAAAACGATGCACAAAAACATCAGTTTTAATGAGGATGCGATACAACCTCAGGGGCAGCGAACGTGTAGTAGTTGTTCCAATGTGGATGATACAATAATTGGTGTAGTATGTTCCATTTGACTGGTGTCAATTAGGTACCATAAGAAACCACCAGGACGATTCCTAATAGATCATATACAGATAACTTTGGAGAACTGTCCTCAAATTATGTCCATTGATCGTTATCATCCTGGAAGAACTCAACTACAACCCCGGTCACAAGCGTAAAAAATAAAATTACCTCGGATAGCACAAATTATCGATGAATAGATTGTCAGTTACCGAAAATGCGCAGTAGAGCCTCGCGACTAAGGGGTGTGCATCAAAAAATGGTGTGCGGTAAAAAAAATGTATGCGCAACATTGTTAGCATACGATTTGCCCGCTCTGTGACATCATTGTCGATCATGCAACATGATCGTATTTCGGGTGAACGAAACAGCTATCGTAGTCTGAGTAGAAGCCTTTAGTGAACGGCAGTTGTGCGGCATTCGCGAAATCTGGAGGTTGTCTGAAACGAAGAATTACAAATTTCTCAGTCCTCACCGGACGAGTAGTTGTTTGGTTGAACTGTTTTACAAGTTTGTTTCTAATCATTCAACCGCTTTTCTCATTAGAATATCAGTCATCTGTTATGCAGTTTTGTAATCGTACATGAGGGATTTAGACAAACACAGACTTTAAGCGGACAATGTGCAATATATCTCATTGAGTTGAATCGGTAATTCTTAGAAAGTAGGCTGTGAACCACAGGTATTGGTCTGGGCAGTGTTGTAAGAGCGATCTAAGTTTCTATCGCCACTGTACTGGTCTGTAAGAACCCAAACTGTAAACAAGCCCCGTTTGGCCGATTTTGAAAATGCGCAGTTTGACTGTTTCCGTCGTATTGGCGTTCCAGGTGGTTTGCGACGGTTGAGATTGCCGATTGCGATTACTACGCGGCGATTTACCTATTGCACACAGTATCATGTCTTCATAATTTTCAAAAACTAGCGTTTCTCGTGGTTGATTAACATTTACTCGTGTATTCTCTCTCTTCATTCATGGAATTCAAGTCTCCGCCCACAGTCCTTTGTAGCTTTTGCCCATGGTTCCAGTCTCGGTATCTGTTCGTCTACCGATCAGTGAAAAAGTATCTCCCAACAGACTCGTTTTCTCAATGCTATAATGGGAATATTCAAGTATTGAGACATATTGTGCTTTATTTAATCAGGAAAGGAGTTAGGAAGATGTCAGAACAACCGATGAGGGTGCTGGGGGGGGGGAGCAGCCCCAGTAATGTTCGCTAGCAACGGCCACGGAGCATGAAAGGTATCAAAAGAAAAATGATTCAATACGTCTGCTTGTGTCCACACAGGTTCTTATGCCAGGACTAGGAGAAAAATTCACAGAAGGAATTATCGATGCGTTTTATCGTGACTTCGAGTGCTCCCGGTCCAGCAGTGGTTGACTTGAACAAAATTTCACGAACTATGCTCAAACTGAGCTTCTTTTGTGATTGATTTTCAAATATTCCAAATCTCAGTCGGATAAATGGACCTCTGTGAAAGAGGCATTATTTCTGAGAAATTACAACTCACACTCAGTTACACTGTGGAAACAAAACCGGAGTATTTTTCAAGTTTTTCCGAAAGCGTTATGATCAAAGTGTACTGCTATAAATCTTGTTTCGCGAGAGCACCTTCAGTAGACGTTACCCCATGTCGACCATAAGAAGCACGACGAAACGGAGAAAAACTTAGAAATTCCAGGCCGCACGCATCTTTCAGAGAATAATATATGTGGATTTTCGTTGAGGTCCCTCCTAGTATTTAACTCTGAAAGCCTCTTCATGTTCGACAATGGGTGTCTTGGGTTGCGAATAATCATCCTTTCTTTGTACTTCGCGAAACACTCTCACCAAGTGTCTCGTTCAGTCCCTTTTGGTGAAGCCCTAATCACTGCCTTCTTGTGGTGGTGTTTTCCCAAAACAGCAAGAGGATAAAAGCCAAAATCCGGGTCGGTGAACCACCGGCAACCCAGGTTGGGGTTTTGGTTAAATACCTTGATCCCAAGCCAAACAAAAAGAGTTGTAGGAACCACAAATACACACTTTCATGGTTGTAACAGTTGTCATCAACTCGATTGGACATCGAGGTGTAATGGGCGCCTTGTACGTTAGACCTCATCCAAAAAGCGTATGACCCAATGGATTAAATGTCGGCCCACACACTATCCCGATGTCTTACGGATAATGCTTTGGTTAGCCAAAGGATCCGGATGTGAGTTACACAAGAAAATTCACTTGCCTTGACCTGGGTCACCTGGCGGAATTCCATCCACGAGCGAATCATGGATTTATACTTTTGTGATATTGCACAGTGATTTGTTAGGCTTACATTCTGGATTTAGAAGCGTGTGAAATATAACAATATATTATCTGTTCAATTGTTACGCATATTTACCGCACATAATTTCTGTATTTTTATCAAGAGACGTCTCACAGCATTGCACTTGTTCGATTCGCGTATGTATTGGTCGATTACAGTAGCAACCAAAAGACAGTGTAAGAACGTATAAGGTTGTTCAAACTAAACCTAAAGTACAATCAATGTTTCTGATATTTCGCTCACGACAACCTGCTTTCCATCCAAACCTACCGCAACTCTATCATCCGATCGATTAGGAGGCGAAGAAAGAATCACGCAAGGCACATTTCAATCTGAGTTAATCAGCAGTTGCTACCCGGATGATTAATGTACAGTTGGCGTATAGCTCCGATTCCTTCCATTCCCTGATTTAAACCGGTTGGCGGGCTTGATTTAGTCGCACAACTCAGTTTAAAATTAGCCGGGACAATCTAATGCAGACCACTTATAAATCTGAAAGAATCACTGGCTGGTCTCCAATGTTCACTTTGCAACGGCTACAAAGAGTAATCTCCAGATTTGAAAAACAAACTGTTATTTTGCCGAAACCTATCCGACAGATGAGCTTGTTAGATAATGTTCGGCTGACTCTTATTTGAACACCGAACTATATCCTCGATTTTATATGTATATTTTTGGTAAAACCCCGATTTGAGCTATTTACGGATGAGCAGTTAATGAAAACCGTTAAGCGTTATCCGATATGCGATAAATTACTCTCGTTGTTTCCCTCCCTCATTCTTTGTCTATACAACATTATCCACACGATAAGTAGTGTTCTCACAATGAAACTGATTTTTTCATGCCTAGTAGAAAATTACAAAACAAAAACGCTGACTCAGTGACTTCGATTTAGATCAGATCTGTGCCGCGAGTGAATCGCATACCTATTCTGACATCTAAGACAGAAGGAAACGGATTGTGCGAATCTCGGTTGAGTAGAACATTCTTTCTATTCTGATGTGTTTCAAGTGGGGCTTCGTAGCACCCAAAAACACTTGAGACGAACTAAAGAAGATACACTAAATTACACACACACACATACACCCCTTGTTCTTTCGATCTACACACGTCATTTGTCTGACGTCACACATCACAACCATCACCGGGCCAAGTTCAAG